GTTCCCTATTTTCCTTGTTGCCTTGTTCCCTTCTTTCCTAGTGTCCTATCTTGTTTCATTTTCCCTTCTTTCCTAATGCCCTTTCTTGTTGCCTTGTTCCCTATTTTCCTTGTTGCCTTGTTCCCTTCTTTCCTAGTTTCCCTTCTTGTTTCATTTTCCCTTCTTTCCTAATGCCCTTTCTTGTTGCCTTGTTCCCTATTTTCCTTGTTGCCTTGTTCCCTTCTTTCCTAGTGTCCTTACTTGTTGCTGTGTTTCCTTGTTACCTTATTCCATTCCTACCTAGTGTCCTCTCCTTTTATTCAGTCTCTTTTGCCTCTCATTGTTTTCAGACAAAACCAGAAATCCAATCCAACCTTTGTTTTAGACAAAAAACAAACAAAAAAATGTCCGTCTGCTCAAATGGACCAACATGGGAAATCCAACAAGTTCACGGTATCTCCAGAGACATTTTAGTTGTCTATAACTGAGCCACATGAGAGAAACGCTGTCTGAAGAAGAGTCCCTGCTCCTCCTCCTCTGTATCTCCAGTTCTCTCTTCTCTCTGTCTTCTCAGCCAGCGTTTTCTCATCTCAAAGCTCACGTCGGAACGTTAGTCCACCAGAAACCAAATGGATGTGTCATGGGGGGTGAGGAGGTCTCACTGACTGATGGCTCTGCAGATGCACTGGCTGTCATATATCTCTCTGGGTTCTCTCTGACTCTTGCTGCCACCTGTTGCCATTTTATGAGCCTCTCATCTGATCTACTGCTCATGTTCCTCCCTCTGACACTCCCGACCATCAGAGTAAGGAGGCGTGTCAGTCGGATTCCCCAAGAGCTGAATTTTATCTCAGCAGAAGTTAGTCTTCTTCCTCTATCTTGGATTAGGGAGCTTGAACAGCCTCGCTGACAGAAAGTTGGAAAAGCAACATATGGCCTCCACAGCCAGGCTCCGCCCCCTTCTCTTTCTGCCAAAACCACCGGCTGGGCCCTGATTTCACACATAAAAAGGGAAATTGTTTCCTTTTAATGGTCTCCTGAAGGGAATCTCTTTGCCATGCGGTGGATGGATGCGTTACAGATCACTGCTGTCTAATTAGCCCAATGCTCCACTCTTAAAACGTAAATACAGGCAGGAGCTGCTTTGACCTGCAAAATTGCCAGCACCTCATCAATAAATGTATATATTTTATAATTTATTTAAGGGTTACAAAATGGTATGAAGCTAATTCGGGTGTTTTTTTTAATATTTTAAACGCCTCCAAATCCTCTCACTCCTTCAGGAATAATTTGTAGTAGCAAACATCTCATATTAACAGCCTCTCATGTGGAAAATGTTTTCATTTCATTAGTCTAATAAGTCTAATTTACAGAACAGCACTCGGTACTGATGTGAGACTGAGCAGTTTTTCATCTGGAGATGTAATACAACACAGACACTTAGTACAAAAAAATCTACAAAAACCTTTTTCGATTCCTATAAAGGTCGTCATACATGCTGACCTCCTCCTTCTGCTTTTGTTGGTTCAAATAAACAATAAAAAGTAAGTGTTTAAGTAAGCTTTTTTTGTGTCTAGGTTGCAGTGCCAGAGAAGAAGAATGGGGGTAAAAAAAAGGGACAGTTTGGTCCACAGGGAGTCTGGCGTGCCATCCTGGTTGGCCGCGCTCCTTCAGGAGCCTCTGTTCTGTCCTCCTCTGTGCGTCAGCTGCTGAATGTGATCAGTCAGCCTCAGATTGTGGCGGAAATGATACTTCCAAGAGCTTCCAGGACAGGATTCTGCTCCAGCCTGCCAGCTTTCACAAAGGCCTCCCTACTAACCTTTCCAAGAAGCAAGACTCGTTTCAGAGACCCACTTGGAAAGTCAGATTCCATTAATCAAATCCTTACTCAGCATGGAGGTGGAGGCCCCATCCAGCCAGCTGCATGCTAATGAGTCTCTGGGAAAGAGGGGTGTTATCTTCTTGGGCTATTAATATGTTATAAAGTAGGTGTATTTCCAGTAGATCGATAGTTAATTTATAAAATTATCACCACAGTTAAATATCGATTTTTCTCAAATGTCAGTTTTTATTCGCCTTAACAGCCGTCTTTTTTCCCCCTCCCCGTGTCTCCTCTGTAGATGCTACTTCTTCCTTATATTCTCCTGATTTTCATAAAGACTTTGAAGTAGGATCACTGCAGCTTCTCCTCCCAGCTTCTTCTGCATCGCTCCACTTTCAATTAATAAGCATAACGAGTGCAAGCGTTTGAATGATGATGGCTCCCTCTAGAATAACCATCTCCACCGTGTTTAGAGTGGTTGTAATAATATTTGGAGTAATAAGGATAGTGGTAAAATATACTTAAAGGCTTTCATCAGCCTCCTAATCTCCTGGATTTATATGATAAGAACATGTCAGTCTGAGTGAAGCAGGCCGCTGCAGGCTATTCAAATTGGGCTTTCTCTTTCTGTGTGCGCTTATAACAGCAGCTGGGATTTTCTGTGGGGAATCAGAAGCATATTCAAAAGGAAGCAGAGGTACGGAGGCGGAAAGCAGGCTGGTAACACCCTGTAGTCACATCCAAAGCAGCTCTGTTAAACTGTTGTTTCTACTGCTGTCATTCACTGGGTTCCCCTTCAGTCCACCCCCTGCAGGCAGGATATCCTCTGAGCTGCCTCAGATAGTTGTTGTTTACAGGCAGCAGATCTTATTTAACCACGACAGGATTTTATCTGCCTGAAAAAGTCTAAAGTTATGAGTGTAGATTTGTTTTCTGGGCTACTTAAACTGATTTTTAGCAGAAAGTTTCAGGGTATACTGATCTAAGAACATTTCCTCCCAAAATTGAATCGTACTGCTGAAGGTCAACTGATCAGCTGATTCTGAATGGGAATAAAACAATATTGGTAGATTTTAGAATAAAAAGAACAAGTTGAATCCTACTAACATCATGGGAGAAGAAGTGGAGGGGGTTGAGGAGTAAATACCTTTTTTTCACTTGGACTACAAACTAGACTGGAGACTTAAATGTGAAACCATATGCAAGAAGGGACAGAGCAGATTGTTCTTTTTAAGATTAGTCCTCCAGCTTTTGCAGCAAGATGCTACATATTTTCTATTTTCTGTTTTATTTTCAAGCTCCATGTAGATTGTTGTGTAGATTCCTTCTTTTGTTTCTATTTTTAATTTTACCTACTCCATTTAGTCCTTTTCTAGGAGGAAATAATAATAATAAAACTTACATTTCTTTTAGTTCTCTTCTCCTTTTTTTTAAAGTGGGAAAAAAGTAAATGACATTTTAATTTCCTTTCTTTTGGTTCTTTTACTTTCTTTTAATTTCATTTTCCCTTCCTGGCAGGGTTAAAAGGGAAGATAAAATAGTTTTAATTTCCTTTTTATTTTTTTGTCTTCTTTCAAGGGACTGAGCAGATTGTTCTTTTTAAGATTAGTCCTTCAGCTTTTGCAGCAAGATGCTACATATTTTTTTTTCTATTTTCTATCTATCTTCCTTTTTAATTTCAAGCTCCATGTAGATTGTTGTGTAGATTCCTTCTTTCGTTTCTATTTTTTATTTTACCTGCAACGTTTAGTCCTTTTCTAGGAGGAAATTATAATAATAAAACTTACATTTCTTTTAGTTCTCTCCTTTTTTTAAAGTGGGGAAAAAAGTAAATGACATTTTAATTTCCTTTCTTTTTTTTTTTTCCTTCCTTTCAGTTTCCTTTTTCCTTTTTAGCAGGGTTAAAAGGGAAGATAAAATAATTGTATTTTCCTTTTTAATTTTTGTCTTCATTTAAGGGACAGAGCAGATTGTTCTTTTTTAAGATTAGTCCTTCAGCTTTTGCAGCAAGATGCTAGATATTTTCTATAAATTTGTTGTGGAGACTGTCATCTGCTTTGTAAGAGCATCAGAGCTAATTACTTAAAAAAGCTCAACAAGCTAATGAAGACCAGCTCTGTTCTACGAACTCCTCTAGAACTTCTGGAGATTTTTTCACACTTTTCTTTTTTTTTTTTCATAAAGTGAAGAACATTATTGACAACAATGACCATCTTCTTTTGATTCTTAAACAACAAAGTGTCTTCAGTAAGAGGCTTCTCCAGATCTGGTGCATAATAGATCGCTACAGAAGAACACCTGATTAGACTCAACTCTTTGAAAAAAAAAAAAACATAATAAAAGCCTATAAGTTACTGCAACATTTAATTTCCCTTTGGGTTTAATAAATTATTTTTGATACGTATTGAATTAAAAGTAATTTGTGCTGATTTGAAGTTAGATGGAGATAAATAAGCTTTCCTCAAGATCGTCTTAATATTTATATCCAGTCAACTATCTTGTCAAAATGGGTGCCCTCATTTTTCTGATGATTCACTGTGAATTTTTTTGTCTTTTTTTTTTTGTTGATTTGACATATATAAACTATTTCTGTTAAAGCATCAAGATGAGAATATTTTAATTTCAAGCTCCAGGTAGATATCAGTGGTAAAAACACTGAAATTGTTCTTTCTTTGTTTCTTTTAGTTCCCTCTCCTTTTTTTTTAAGAGGTTTTTGGTTCTTTTCTTTCCTTTCAGTTTCATCTTCCCGTTTTCGGGAGGATTAAAAGGGAAGTTAAAATTATTTTAGTTTCCTTTTTATTTTATTGTCTTAATTTTCCTAGTTTTTTTAAGATACAAAAAGGAAAGAGAAAGATTAATTTATTTCATGCTTTTTTTATTTGTTATGTAAGCCACACTACTAAAAGTCATTAAGTTTTTGAAACGCAATATCTTGCCATACGAACAAACACTCTCAGCTTAAAAGACAAATTCACCAAGGCTTCCCATACATCGACTCAACATGAAAGATCAGGATCACCACTTAATCGACCTCTTAACAAACCACGCTGCATTCAGAAACAAGATGGTGGACAAGAGTTGTAGAAACGCTATTTACCAGAAAATGTTTTGTACACAATGTCTGACATCTCATCAGAGAACCTTTCTATACACATTTTCTGTGTTGTGCCTATTGCTTTTTTCCATCAACAAAAAGTCTGTTTACTCTTTAACAGTTGTGGCACACAGTTAACTAGTTGCCCTGTCAAGTGATTTTTTTATTTTCCTCCAGATCGTAGGACTTTTGCTGCTCCTCTTTAAGGCCGTTTGTTTTTATCTGTAAGTTTTAATTAGTGCCTTAAGCTTCCCAGTTCAATGAATGGATTCAAATTATTTGGACTGAAAGTATTTCTTTGATTGTTTTGTTGGTAAATCGCATATAATCCCAGAACATTTACCATTTGTGGTTATAATAGAGGAGAAGCATTAATGCTTTTGGAAGACTTGCTCTGGCTGAGTGTTTTTTGCTCTATAGCCTGCTTTACCTTAAAGCCTGCAGGGAAGGGAAACTGATGAGGGATTAGCAAGGCTTTAGTCTGTAGTGGAACCAGTGAGTGGTAGTCATGCCACATTGGGGGGGATCTATATTCAGGTTACCTGCCGTTCACGCTCTACAAACGATTAGGGCTGTAAAGGCCGGAGGTCAGTCAAGCTAATGGAGCTCACATGTTGCAGGTCACACGGATGGAGCAAAACGAGAGGAGGGATGAAGCTGATGAGGAAAACCAACTTTAATTCTTTTTTTTTTCCTGTCTTTCAGAGAGCGAAGCCGAGACCGACACAAGTCACGCAGCAAAGACAGCCGCTCTGAAAAGTCGGTCACAATCAACTCGCCGCCCGCCGAGCCGCTGCTGGGCGACTCCTCCGTGCGGGGCGAGCAGGTTCAGGTACGTAACGATCTGCCCCAGAAAGCTTCTGTACGCTGCTTCCAGCCTGGATGACTGTGCTGGAATGATCCAGGAAGGATTTAAGGAGCTTTGTCAGTTAACGAGGTGGAAGGATAGTTGTGTTTATCAGCCTGGGCAGCAACGGGCCATCTGGTACATTTGGGGGGGGAGGGCCGGTCCACTTTCTGGTAAACCCAACAGGAAGCCAGAAACAGGCAAACGGGATGCGGTTGCAGAAAGTTGCCCCAGTTGGTAGTAGAGCTCTGCTTGATCCTGTTTGTAGACACAGCATTCCCGGTTTGTTTGCAGCGACTGGGTCAAAGTAATGTCAGGCAAGAACGTGGACCCGGTAACCCCCTCTCAAATGGACCAGGCCAAGCTAAAACTGCAGCTACAGCTTTTGCACTCAGTCTAATAGTGAAACTCCGAAATCATGTTGACGTCTGATGCCTGCAAGCACAGGATCAAACTATGGATTATGTGATGGATTATTTGACAGCGGAGAAATTTAAGGTAGGATTTTAAAAGATTCGACCTTTAAGATAAAAACAAGCCACAGTGTTGAATGTCTGAGTCTAGCTGTCTTCTATAAACAGGCATTTATAAACTACCAACTCATATTTCAGCTTTAAATGCAGGCAAGACATTTGATTGTGTTGCTTGGACTGAGACAAAAGATAGCAGAGATATACCTGACAGGTGGATCAGATGGCAACGCCTCAGCTGGGCTGGTTTGACATCAGATGGCATGTTAGGACGTGAACCAAGAGGTTTCACCAGTACAAACAGTCTAATAAGAGGAACTACTGCAGACAGTCTGGCTGTTTGTCCTTTTTTGACCCTTAAATCACTCATTTGAGGCCTTTTACGCTAAAATTAGGTCACTATGATGTTTAAGGAATCAACTGATAGAAGTCAGAATTGAGCCAGAAGGCAATTTCCCTTTGAATTATCAGAGGTTAAACTGACCCAGTTCTGTAGCAACTGACTAATAATCCTCTTAGTCTGTATTTTAGATCAGTTACACTGATGCTGTTGTGGCTGTTTGGCGATAATTGCCTCATTCTCTTTAAACACCTCCTGATGTGAATGTTTTTGTAAACTTTTCTCTGACTTGGCGCCATACTGGAAGACTGACTGGCCAAAACAAACACAGCTTCAGACCTTAACATTGTTTGGCCTTCACTGCCTCAGCACTGAACGGAAATCTTTCCCTTTGGTCATCAGAATTTATCCCCACACTTTCTGTACTTATTGGACTTACTAATCCTAAATATAGGGCTTAAATGCTTTTTCAAAGATACCTTGAGTTATCTTTTTTTATCCATTTATTTCTTCCCCAAAACGAAGCAACCCTACCTTAAAAGCTCTGTCGTTCACTGGACATTGTTTATAGAAAGTGTAATATTTGCTGAGTCATGGGGAAGTGATTTGAATGACTGAATCATCTCTGCTCAGACATCTGCTTTCTAGTCATTGAGATGAGCTATTGATATGAGTGTTACGGTGTCTGGAGACGGACTCTCACAGGACTTTTTGATAAATATGAGATCATTTTATTTGTGTTAATTTTGGGAATTGGGCTCTATTGGATTAGAGTTAAAAAGAATCTATTCCCAAATAAAACATTATATATAATGCAGGGTTATGATTTATTTTTTGATTTTCACCTTTCTGTCTATCTTGTATGTACAATTTAATTTTGTTTAATAAGTCTGCAGACAGTATTTACTTAAAGATCTTATCAACAATGTTTTCATTAAACAGTACATTTCCTGTCAGAGTGATGCAGAATAAAAGTGGAAAAGTTTATATAAATTATTGTTTTGTCTTTTTAAATGTTTCAAACTAAATTAATATATACTTCTGGTTAAGACTCCAACATTGACACGAAAGGTTTCTGCACTAGTAGGTTGATGCCAGGTCAAAGTAGCTCCATAATAGGGCTTTAGGCCAATTTATGCTTCTAATGCATAGCCTCTGCAACCGTCAAATCTGTCTGTGCGCGACCACGCCCCCGCACAGAGGTTCGCACACCTAAAAAAAATCCTTACTACGCGTTGGATGGTTGCAAACCCACTCACACCTCAAGCGGAAGTGAGCAGACAAAAAGCAGCTGTGATTGGTCCTTGGTATGTCTTTCCGTCTGTCTGTGTGGTCGTCCTTCTCGATTCGATGCCAGGGCGCGCCATTTTTAAAAACCGATAAACAACTACAATGGACAACTACGACGAAAGGTTAATCGGTCTTTTTTGCCAACTCCATTAACAGAACCTGTTCCTCTTCGATGTCTAGCAAGTCTAGATGCATCTCCGTGACCGAGATATCTTGCAGACGCGCCATTGTTGTTTTGGAAGATAAACACTCCCGCCGGCGCCTCCGAAGTTCTAGTGACCATCCGCCAATGTTCTCGCGAGTACTTGATTAGGCTGCCCCTTGTGCTTTGGCTGAAACTGCTGTGTGTCCCTAGTAGGGTTGTCACGATACTAAACTTTTCAACTCTATACCGATACTAAGGAAAATATTCGATACTTGATACCATTTTCGATACCACAAGGATAAAATTTCAACAGAAATATTTTGATTAATAATTAAAATACAATAAATAAATACAATAAACAATAAGAACAACATTTTGAGGTTGTTTGCTGTGCACAGTATTTAGCAAGCTTGATAAAAAACTTACAAAATTAAAATTAAGTTTTCCTTACTTGGCTATGCTTTGCACACATAACAATGACACTAGCCGAACCGGTTAAGAAACAAAAATAATTCTCAGCAGCTGCAACTGTTACAAAAAAAGTCTGAAACTGAAAAGTGCACAAAATTATTCAATCACACAGTGTTCAGAAAGTGCATTTTCCTCTATTCTGCACTTTAGATGAATGACTGTTTAGGTGCGACTGGTACTCGATACTTTTGAAAATGAGTATTGTATCCGGATACAACATTTCAGTATCGATACTTTTTTGAGTATCGATACTTTTGACAACCCTAGTCCCTAGAAATTCTAGACCAACAGTGCAGAAGCATACCAGCAAAACTGGTTCGTGACCAGACCCAAGCGACAACTATAACCTGAAAGACTAAACATTTACAAACCCTACATGTTCCTTAACGGACGTCTGCTTTTGCCAAACAGAACCAATCTTCTGCATTTCTATCAGGCTTCCTGATAATTCCTGGATTGTTGAAAGACGGAATAAACGTCTAACATCCTTCTTAATGGATCCTATTAGTAAGCCCCCCCAGTGATTAATAAAAATTGATACGATTCTTCCCTCGGTAACAACTCCTGTACGGAAGAGTGTTGTTTGAGCCAGGGCTACTCAATGTTTTGCAATTTTGTTATTGCAGCATCAAAGCAGAGAACAGGTTTGCTCTTGAATTTGTGTTAAAACATTATTGGCCGATGTTAGATTTAAATCAAAATATTGGACGCCATTCTGTCAACATTATCAGGTCATTAAGACGGCAGTGTTTTTGTGATAAATAGGTAACCATAGATTTGAACTTAAGGAAGTATTTTGTATTTTTTTCCCCCTCGGAAGAATTTTGGAAACAACAACTCATTATCCCCAATCTATAGCAAAAATGAAACTAGAAGTTGTTTTCTTTTGATTTGAGCAGCTAAAGGAGACAATTTGCTAATGGAATAAGATGAACGCCTCGATCTTATTTCAAATGCATGATATCTATCTTATTTTAGGAGAAAACTGCTTTCGCAAATCATTATATTAACCTGATCAAATTATGGGCAGATACCATTATTTTAAGAATGTTTAACCTATTTTTAGATGAGTCTTTGTAGTAAGTTCCCACACTCTCTCCAAAACGTTCTGCAGCAGCTTCTTTCATCAAGTACTCAGCTGAAGGAGCTGCTGAGAAAACAGGAGATTAACCAGCCTATTTGGCTGACTCTCCCCTCTGCCAATCTCCAGTAGTAAATTCTCCTGATGTACGTTCTTGCCTGCATGCTATGTCTTATTTCACCGCTCAGCGCATCTATCCTTGGTATTTAGCGCTTCATGTCTTATTCATGCATCAGTCTGCAGCACCAGAGTAGAAAGGGTTTGCTTTAGCTGGAGTAATCAGGCGCTCCAAATCTACCGAGAGTGAGCTTCAGGACAAATCCGCCGTGGTCTGGGTCTCGCATATGCTCCAGAATGTGAATGTTTCTTTTTTTTTTTTGCCTGCCTGCGTCAGACTGATGTCAGCGTCTTACTGAGCGTAGCCGTTCTCATTACTCCACTGCTGGGACTTAATCAGAGTCTTGGCTGACGAAGCACGGCGTTGCTGAAGGCAGGGATGTCCTCACAATCCCGCTGAGAGCTTTCTCATGGCTGTCTGTAATGTTTCACCGCAGGGATTATTACAGAGGGGGAGGGGTTTCATGGGGATGTGTCTGAAGACGCACTAATGGACAGAGTTTGGCACCAGGAGTGTTGGATTGGATGTTCCTGTATATTATTTCAAACTTTAACGGTAGGGCTCTCTGGATACTGAGGAACATGCAGGTGAAAGAAGGTGTTGCAACCCTCTTTTGCGTTTGTTAGCAGTAGAGGATTTAAAAAATATTAATTAAATTACCTCAACAATATGAATTACTATTAAATGAATCACAAAATCCCACTTCCAATGGCTACTGCAGTCCCCAAATTACTCAACATTTTCATACCGAGCATCTCTGGTGCATTATGAAGCATCTTTCTGTTGGTACTGTAGGACTTTCTGCAACCATGACATGACCAGTCTCTAGCAGCCTTCTTTAGGACTCTTTGTTCTCCAGTTCATTGACATCCTGAAGTTTCATTGCTGCAACAGACTTGTTAAATCAAAACAGACCCTCAAAGTGCATCTTAAGCAGCTATAATAGCTATTCTATCATCCGCAAGGACCCTATAGTTTCTGCTCTTTCTTCTTTGCTAATTCTCTCAGCCAAAGTCAGATAAGACCATCTTTAAAATCCTATTCCAAGTTTAGCTGCAGATTTCTAATCA